ACAATTTAACGATAAATTTAGCCCTAGAATACAGAGGAAAATCTTTTCTAATTTTCCCTTTTGTATTTCTTAGGTTTTCTTTTTTCTTTTTTGCCTTCTTTCTTTCTTCTTCTTCTTCTTTTTCTTTTCCTCCTTTCTCTTCCCTTTTTTTTCCACTTTTTGAGAAATAAATCACGCGCGCGAAAGAAACACCGAGTAACACGAGAGCTGTGACATTTTACAATTCACCTTTTGTAAAACGTAATCCAAGATCCGAGTGTTGTTGTTTTATCACGCTCTCCTGGCTGTTTAGATTTTCTCCTTGGACTTATATCTCTTTCTCTTTTCTTTTTTATTCTTATATTCTAAGTTTTATGATTTTCTTTTCACTTTGCACCAAGCACATATTTTCCTTTCTTCATTTTCTTTCTTTCTCTCGTACTATCCATTTTCGAATGTTTCTCTTCTTTCATCTCTCTCTTTCTCTCTTTTCTCTTCTTTAGCCCGCTTCCCCTCTCTTTCTCTCTTTCTTTCTTTAAACCTTTTGTTATCGTCTCATCCTTCTCGTTCTCCTTTTTACTTTTTTTTTTTTTCCCTTCCTCTCTCCTCATTCAAGCACACTTTTCGGTCTAGCCCTTTCGATCGAAGGGAGCTTTTGATAAAGTAAGATACGCATCTACAATATGTGCATATATATATATGTACATAGATATATATATATATGTATATATATATATAATACGTTGCCACTTATTCGAGCTTTTGATTCTCATCAAAATCCTAAATTAAATTTTTGAAACTTTTCAGATTTTATTAAATGCACGTATATAAGTATGATGCAAAAAAAAAAAAAAAAAAAAAAAGAAAAAGAGAAAGAAAAAAAAAATAAAGAAAAAATAAACAATCTTATTTTAGCACTCTATCGATCATATATTAATATGCGTTTGTATGCGTATGTATTAATAGTTATCGTGTTAAACGAGAAGCTACGTCGGTCAAAAAGGGTTAATTAAAATATTGACGGAGACTTTCGATATATATATATATATATACACGCACACATATACACATAACATATGTATATATATATATATATGATTTTCCGGTCTGAATAACGAGATTTGCATTGGATAGAAGGACTTTGCATAACGAGTTAGGAACTTGATCGGTTACAAAACTTGGACTGGATGATATATATATATATGTATATGTATATGTATATGTATATGTATATAATTCTCTCATTTTTATATTTGACAGTAGTAGTCCGTTTGCAAACGGTCGCTAACTTTAAATGCCGTCCAAAAATGGTAGCCCATAATGAAACGAAAAATTATTTCACCTAAGCACTCCATTGCCAAAGGAAAGAATAATATATATCATGTTATATGGTTGCATTAAAGCACAATACGAGTGATGGAGATTTATATGTGACTAGTTTAAGGAACCAACTATCTAGACGGATATTTGCACGATACGACAATGCCAAGCCGTGACAGGCAAACTGATTCGAATTACCTTTGAAAACGATTTTGCTTGTCTCGTCTCGGTTTTGTTAGGGTTGCCAGAACTGGTGCTTTAACGAGGGAAAAATTTTTACTCAACTACTTTTTTCTCTACATTTGTGTTCGTTCCATGAGCATGCATGCATACATAAATGTAATACATATATATATATATATATATATATATATATATATATATATATATATATATATATATATATGGACAGGACAGGGCAAAAGTTTGTAGATGATTTAAAAAAATTTAATTATTTTTTTTTTTTCGAGACATTATAAGCTAATTTTACATATTGCATTATAATTCCTAAAAATTTCATTTTAAAAAGTCTCTAAGAGAGAGAGAGAGAAAAATAGAAAGAGAGATTTATTTTTAAAATCATCATGAAAGTTTTTCGTTCCCATATATATATATGTAATATTACAAGCTGTATTGTCTTGCAAATCGTTCAGTTTATTTATAGATTATTTAGAATATTCGTGAATCATGACACGTTTCAAGGGGGTAGCGGGTGGTGGGGACAATGTTTGAGTTGGGGGATATTTTAACGAGTGACACGACACAGTTTAGTTTCGATCGATCGATCGTGAATTATTTAATAAGATACGATCGTGTGTTATATACTTCTTCGAATAGTTCGACTATTCACCTTTAGTCTCGTCTATCTGATATTTCGAAAGCTTTTCGAAAGTATTAAAAAACGTTCGTTTAATAATTCAATAAAGATATTTCGATATTTTATAAAGATAAGATATATATATATATATAATATATTTTGTAATAACACGAATTGTTAATTTGTTCTTTTAGATAGTAAGAATCATCGATCATGGCGGTACTACTGGAAGCCAGGCCGTACAGGCCTTTTAAATCTTCAGAGGAGTATTTGGTCGCAATGAAGGAGGACTTGGCCGAATGGTTGAATGCACTTTATCCAGAACTTAGAATCAATGTTGACAATTTTATGGACCGATTGGATACTGGCGTGGCATTATGCAAAGTAAGTATTAATTAATATTTTATAACAATTAATTAATTAATTAATTAATTTATTTATTTATTATATTCCTTTCTATTAAATGCATACCAATATTAATTCTAATTCTTTCAAATATATACATATATATATATATATTTATTTATTAATTATATTATATATTTATTATATATATATATATATAAATAAATAAAGATAGATATAATGTGTGTATATATAAAGATATGCCGATAAAAAATTCCATAGGTTTTTTTTTTGAACGATTAAGTAAAAATCGTAGGAATACGCGTCATTCACGAACAATTACAAACTACATAATAATATATACATACAGGCACAAAGGCGCAAAGCGCATAAAAATCGTACGTGGATATGCGCGCTACCGCGTTTCTTTCTTCGTAATCGCGTCAGTCGCGTTTAAAGAGAGAGAGAGGAAGGAGGATGCGTGTGACGTCCAGCGGAAACTCTTAGCCCTACGTGGCCTGAATTAAGATAGGATTTAACGCAAATGAATTGTGGGAGAGGAAGGAAAGCGCAAGAAAAGTTTTACGACCGTTACGAAATTTTTTCATACTTTCAATATTTCATAATTTTTCTTTCTTTTTTTTTTTTTTTTTTTTTTTTTTTTTCTCCTCCAGCTTCTAGCACAATTTAACGCTCCCTTTTTAACAAACGTTCCTATAACAATCATGATTTATATTTATTCTATAATCATCGATATAATTTTGTTTATTTAGATATGAGATATCATTGAATTTATTTTCGATCCAAAAATAATTCACTTATGAATTTTTATTGACAACGTATAAATCAAGAAATATTAATTATTATAACGATCAATAATCGGTCGAACGAATGAAATGATGAAATGTTTTTATTTAGAAAATGTTAAAAAAAAAAAAAAAAAAAAAAAAAAAAAAAAAAAAAAAAAAAAAAGAAAAAAAACAGTATTATTTATTTAGTTACAAAATATTGATTATTTTTTAATCGAAGAAATGTCACGATTCGTACCACTCTTTTTCTATCCACCCCCAACCCCCTTCCGCTCCCAACCCCCCAATGCTCCCCTTTTATAGAATATTTCCCACAGTACGAAGAATATATAATGACGTATGATTGAAAGGTCGTTGTTATGTACATACGTAGTAAGTATGTAGCTTAGAGAATAGAGCGATCTCGAAGGATCGAATAGATCGTCAATCGTTTCTCAGGCACAGCGAGTGGTCTTGGAGTCGATCTCTCGAACGGCAGCCAAGTTATAACGTTGGACTTTCACTGATCTACGAGGGACACTCGAGAGACACTGGGGAAGTCTATTCGAAGCAGACGGTGCCACCAAACGAGCTCCATTCATTGGCATGAGAGAGTACGACAATGTGAACGGGCATATGAAGGCCCATAATGCCCACGGCTGCTTCGTCGGTACGATCATGGGGGCCCCCTCTCTTATATATATATATATATAATACCAGATATCGAGAGAGTTTGAGTTGGTTGGTTTATTCGAACGAAGGCTGGATTATTAGCGGCCGCAAACCGAGAGATCAGCGCGTTCTTCACGTCGTCGTTATAAATTCATGCCAGAGAAATATTTAGAGTAGGTAGGACGATAAAACTGGATATTCGCGGGGCGGGCCCCTAGAGAAAGTTTATGGTGGTTGTTGCGTGTGTACGGTTGTCCTATCCTCGGAAGGAAACATTTGCAATATCGAACTTTATATACGTTTTCAAACTATTTCAATTTTAATTTCATTTCTATTTATTTCAACTTCCTTGTTTATATATATATATATATATATATATATATATATATATGCATGTGTATATATCAGAAAGATTAATTAAAATGTAACTTTGAACTTTAAACTTTGCGGGTAAGAATTATCGGCAATTAAGAAAAAAAAGAAAAAAAGAAAAAAAAAATTAAGATTTTCTTATCTACATTTCTGATAAATCTCATTGGGATAAACAAGTATTACGAGTAATTATCGTGATAAAATATAGCTGAGCATTTAAAATGATTTTACGTTTTTACGTACGATGTATGTTATATTTCTCGGAGAATAACATTTGCAATATCGAACATTATATGTTTCCGTAACTAATATAGTTTTTATTTAATTTCTATTTATTTTAATTTCCTTGTTTACATATACATATATATATATATATATATATATATATATATATATATATATATATGTATATATGTCGTGGAAGAAGATAAAACACAGTGGAATGTTCAGTAGGCAAGTACAACGACGAGTACGGTGGGGGGTGGAGGAGTCTCTTTTGCATATGCGTAGACTTTACGAGCCATAACATGAGAATATAAGAGAGGAGAAAAAAGAAGAAGAAGAAGAAGAAGAAGAAGAAGAATAAGAAGAAGAAGAGGGGAAGATGAAGGAGAAGAATGAGGAGGATGGAGGTGGGAGGAATAATAATAAAGTATCACGCTGAATGAACGATAAGAAAGATTACACCCTCCTCTCCACCCCCCCTCCATCCGTGATCTCGATACTACTTTGTTCCTTTTTTATTTATTTATTTATTTATTTTTCTTTTTTTTTTTTTAAGAGAAACTTTACAAGAAACATAATGATTGATAATTTTATTATATAGAAATATATATATATATATATATGTGTTTGTAATGTATGATGTGTATGTATATATCTATCTATACGAAAGATTTTACGTCGAGAAAATTTCTTTTAAAAAAGTTTTCCATCATCTCTCAACTCCTCTCTCTCTCTTTCTCTGTCTTCTTAGACAAGGCTAATACGCAAAAGTAGGACAAAGATATTTCCTGTATAATATTCTCACTTTAAACTTGTTATCTAGTGAGAAAGTGTCAACTTTCTGAGAGAGAAGATTTATTTCTTCGCTTTTGGTCATTGCTTTTTTTTCCCTTTTCTTTTTTTCTTGTCTTTTCTTTTTCTTTTTTTTTTTTTTTTTTTTTTTTTTTTTGTTATCCTCTCCAAAAGCTCTCATGGATAACTAATTGATATATCCAATTTACTTAACTTTGGAATTCATTCGAACGCTTTATATATCCGTAATATATTACGCGTTTATTTATTTATTTATTTATTTTTTTTTTTTGATAAAGAAAAATTTAATTTTCACTTAATCCTCGTGTATTTCCAGAGTTCAGGAGAACTGTACAGGTTACAGGCACGAAATTAGTTCGATCGTTTGAAATGCAATTTTTTCTTCTTCTTTTTTTCTTTTATTTTCTTTTTTTTTTTTTTTTCTTTTTTTTTTTTTTTTCAAACTTCGCGAACGTACTTCGCGCAAAAATAATCCGCGCCACGGGATAGGTCACATTTTAATACGTGAAAAATATTTCCAATGCAACCTTTCAAATGTCATGAGACTTTTAACGTTGCCAAGTGTACTTTGCAAAATTGATCATTAAATTAATTAACGGCGCGTAAATTAATGTAATATTAAAAATAGTCCGCGAATTGAGCTGTTTAAAAGTTTTATGAGATTTAATATATTTCATAATAATAAAAAAAATATATATATATATATATATACATATACACACACACACACAGACACACATAGATATGATAAGGTGAAATATAATCTGTATAATTTATCTGGAAAAAAAAAAAAAGAAAAATTAAAGAAAGGTTATGAAAAAATATTAGATGAATGTAAATATATATATATATATATATATATATATATATATATATATATATATATATATATATATATATCTCGATTTCATTGCGATCGGTTTGTCGAAATAATACAATTCGAATCGAACGTTGTCATTAAACTAAATCAATTTGAAACTCACTATGTTTAAGAAAGAATAAATACAAAAGATATATATATATATATATATATATATTTATGCGCGCCGTCATACGATGGAAAATCTTTAGGTGCTTAGGTACATGTAGTAATCGTAATATTATCGGGTTTAGTAGTTTTCTCGTTTGTACCATTGAAAATAAGTCATTAGAATTTAAACGAGATTAGGTATAACGACGTACCTGAAAACTAAAGTCACACACTTGCAACTTCGTTCATACATACATACACACACACATATATATATATATATATATATATACATCGTTAATACATTTTCGATATGTTCGATATGTAGTTACTTACGTTCGTTTTATAAGAGTACTAGTATCTATTGACGTTCGACATAAATTTTCATTGATCGAAATGGGAAATGGTTAAACTCGATTTTACATTCGAGATTGGTGTTAAACGAGAGAGAGGAATGAAGTGAGATACCGATCTTGAAGAAATTGAAAAAAAACATATATATATATATATATATATATATATATATATATATATATATATATATTTGAATATTTATCGATTGATATTTTATCAGAGAGAAAGAGAGAAAGAGAGACAGAGAGAGAGAGAGAGAAAGAGAGAGAGAGAGAAGCTCAAGAGAAAAAGGAAACAAATACGCGCGCGCGTGTGTGTATGTATGTATGTATGTATGTATGTATGTGTGTGTATGTATATGTGTGTGTATTGTGCTTTCCTGTCGGAAATGACAAATACCAGGCGCCTCGATGTTCACTCCTTATAAGAGAATCGTTCGACGATATCTTTTAAAATGCATTGCCATCGGCACCGTTGTTGGTTCTGGTACTCGGTACTGGATACTGGATACTGGGTACTTGGTGATGGTGATGGTGATGGTGATAGTGATAGTGACGGTGTTATTGCTGTTCCACCGATAATAGATATATTACTATTAGATATACAGTACCGTAACATTGATGCCTAAGGCGATTTTCGAATGGGGTCCGTCGTTTCGTTAAAATTTCTCTTCATTTCTATATTTCTTTAAATAGGTTTCAATCGGATTTGCGAGAGATCTTTTAAATGAGCTTATTGGCGTAAAGTGCATTGTGTAACATGATCGAAAGCTAATAGATAGTAGATATTATATACTTACTTATATACATATATATATATATATATATATATATATATATATATAT